TCATTCTTCTCAACATTCTGGAAACAACCTCTCTGAGGTCTGTCTCATTCTTCCAGACTTTGACCCATCTGCAGTCGAGGGCCTCATTGACGTGATCCTCAGTGCAGTCCTTCACCATCACCTCATGGTAAACATCAAATTCCTTCATCGAATTCATCTCCTTGATCATTCCTTTCTTCTCAGCTTCAGGAGGGAACTCACTCTCCCAGAGCAGTGGCTCTGCGAGTCGCATTTCTTGGTCAAGTTCTCCTTCCTCAGCATTCACCTCGACTTCAATCTTGGTTCCGTCTTTGCCAACCACTTCTTCAGCTCCAACAATCGAGGCAAGCCATTTGCAAGCGGGAACTCCTGCCAGTACATGGTGCACAGCAGAAATCCTCATTTGCTTGCTTGCAGGCTCAGTCGCAGGAGCGTCTGGATCAATCCTCGCTTTCTTTGATGCATTCTCTCCAGTCTCAGGAGGGTCGTGAACAATCTCAGCAGGTGCTCGATCAGAGCCGTCATTGTCCAAGAGATCTTGAACAGTCAGGCTTTCACTCTGTCCAGGCACCATATCCTCGAGTTGTTCATTCTCCTCACTCTCCTCTTCTTGCTCGACGCGTGACAATCCAGGAGGAGGATTCACTCTGCCTTTCACTCCAAGATCAGGCGGCATCACAAACGCAGTCGAGTCAACTCCATCACCTTTGGGCTGCCACGGCACTGACAACATTTTTGACACTCCTACAGCATTCCATTGCTGAGACGGAGGTCTCCGCTTCACAGCGCGGACCTTGAAGACTCCATTTGCATTTCCAAGGGTGATCTCATCTGCCTCAGTGTCCTTGCCAAGGTACACTCCGGAGAACCGTTGAGATCCTCCCTTCGCATCTTCACTTTCCTGTTGAGGAGCAGTTTTGCGTCAATCCATTCACCGAACATGCACAGTGATCCACCATACTCACGCGACCACCTTCTGCTGTAGGCAGTCTTTCCGTCACTTCCAATCAGATATCTATTGATCAGCCATTGGGCATGTTTCACGCACCAAGTGAACATTGGGGATTCCGAAGTCAACTTCAAGCCGGTCGACTCTTGCACTTGTGACATCAAGTTCCGCAGTTGACCGTACAGGGTCCTCTGCACACCGCAGACACTTCCTTGACTCTGGGAGTGTCCAGTCGGTGCTGCGCGCATCGACAGTCCACCAATCGTTTTGCACAAATCTTTGGCAATCACCTTTAGTGAACTTTCCTTGTCATATTGGACAATCCCGAAGGTCCGTCCAATCTCAAACACAAATCGACGCAGTTCGGCCACAGCATATTTCTCAACGCTGCCTTTTGCAGGCAACACTACAGCCATTGAGTAGCCAGCCTGAACGTCGGTTGCATTCAAGATTGTCCTCTTCGGAAGGTCGTTCTCCGTCGCCAAAAAGGAGAAATCAATCTGAATCACTGGTTGCCGGTCATTCTTCTTCGCGGCATGACTTTGCCGTCCTTTTGACCGAACACAGTGATCACACCAGTCACGATACGGCAAATGCGTCAACTCATGCAGTCTTCTCTCACTCTCCGACGGTTCACCTGGAATCTTCAACATTTTCGGTTTCAATGCACTCTTGTCGTCAGTCTGCTGCTTGGCATTCTCGCCAGCAGTCGGTCTGTCAAAGAGGAAAAAACGATGTATATCCAACCCATTTGTGACCAGTGTGATCTCTCGGGTCATCACACTTCCTGACACTTCCGTCGGGCATCTCAATGTCTGCGCATTCATTTTGATGTCCTGTGTCAATCTTGGAAGGATCACTCCAATCAAAGAACTTTGCATATCTATCACCCCACAAGCAATCACTCAGCAATCCATCAACAGGCGAAGGAGCATCATCTGGGTGAAAATAACAGTCTCTCCACTCATGGTGCATTCGTATCCAATATCGAGGTAGCAGTCTCCAACGGTCAGCAGTCCGTGGTGCTGCAGTCTCTGGATCCTCGAGATTGAACACTTGCAACAACAACTCCTTCATTCTGCTTCCATGCTGGGGCAGTGCACGCAAGGCATTCTCAAGCTCATATTCCTCAACATTTCGACTCACTCTGACTTGCCTATCAAGGACCTCAGGCTCAACATTGGCTTTGTCCATTGTTCAATTTGGGTCATTGGGCTTATGGAATTCGACAATCTCATCATTCACCACTTCGCTCTTATTACGTCCGATCGTTGGATCATATGGACGTGGTGCAGTCTTTTGCACATGTCGCAATTGAGGCTTGTGCTTCAGTCCGAATTCCACTCGTCCTCGCCATTCCTTGGGATCACTCGCTCTTGCATTCTCCAATGTCAAGAAATTTCGCCCCTGACAGTGACAGTCGATGCATGCTTGTAAGTCTTGTACGTCAGTCTCTCACCAGTCAATCTCGACCATGGACCAGTGATCGGCACCGGCGACTTGTTTGCCTGTCGTATTCGTGGATCAAGCATTTCATGACGCCACATTCTAACATGCCGGATCAACTTCAACTCAGACTCATTAATTTCCCACGTGTCCCATTTGTAGCCTTCCTTGGCCGTCATTCCTTGAGCAGCTGCAACCAGTGCTCCAATCTGGAACAAGTTGTCAATCTAGCCATCACGCATGTCCGACACTCCACGCAACTCAACTGATCCAAGCTCACGCTCAATCCCAGTCATCACTTCTGGGAAACAGCTCGCTGCCATTCTTGCCCCGTCCGGTGCAAACCATTCCGGACAGCAGTTCGCGCAAGCTCCACTGTCGAACAATATCCA